AACAGTAACGGATGCTAACGGAAGGGGTAGAGCTAGTCAATTGTCATAAATAGTAGGGGTGGTACAAGACTATAGTTAAGCAGTAAAGGTACAGTTAGTCAATTACCTACATAGTAGGGGTAGTTTAAGAAATTTGCCCTTAAATTAAAAGTCAATGATTCCATTCTATTTGTTTGAGCCTCAATTGCCAATCAATTTGTTGCCTGATTTGCATCGCGATACACATGTTGATAAGACCATGGTTTTAGGCAAGGCCAAAGGCCTAAGCCTCAAGGTGAGGCAAACAAAAAAGACCTGGCCTCAATAGCCCTTCTCTCCATGGTGAAGGCTTAGGCCTTACAATGTTAGAGGCCTATGCCTTTAAGGACATTTTATGGGAACATTGTTAACGGGACTTAGTATAAAAATTTTCAAGAGTATGATAATCTACTCAACTTCAGCTTATGCCATTCCACAACCTCTTTATGCTGAGTTTGGAAAGAGTACAAATGCAAATACATATAAAATAACATAAAATATAAGGTTTTGCACTCTACATATTTACATTTTTACTCCTTCCAAACTGAGCCTTAAGAACTTGTTCACTAAAAGACAAAGCAATAAGCCTTTTCAATTCAGCATATCCAACTATTATCAAATGACCCCTAAGTTACCTCATCCAAATGCAGTCTAAAACAAACCAATGGAACCACAAAGAATAAACCAACCTCCATGCTTTTAAATAACAATGAGAAAAAAAACAACCCAAGGAAAAAGTATTAGAGAATATAAAATGAAAAGAAAATAAAATTTTGGCACTTTGGATATATGATTATCTTTTTAATAAAAAAAAAATGTTAGCTTGGTCCCTAGATCAAGTCAAATTCATGATGGATCGGGTAATGTAAATCTAGAAAAAATAATTTATATTTCCTTCATTTGTTTTTTCTAATAAATATAAATACATAGTTTTTATTTTCCCTTTTCTTATGTTTGAGGTGTAGGTTAGCTGGTGGCTAGATTGAGGAGGCGGTTTCTTTGAAACACAAAGAAAGACCATGGGTAAAGGGGATTGAATCTAAAGCTAGGGCGTCAAGTTGGGACGATAGAGTTGGCAATCAATGATAAGGATACTTGATAGCTGAATGAATTTCGTTACGAGGAGGATCTCTATTTATGGGAGAGATCCTGAGATCCTAAAAGGAAGGAGTTAGAGGTGCTCGTTTCCTACTAGGAAAGGGAATATTGGATTCGCAGTCAATCGTTAAGTGCAGTGCTGGGGTTTCACCACGTGTCCCTATGGGTATCTTTTCGAGGATTGGCTTTCCTTTCACTCGGAGATCCTCATAACTCACATGTGCTACTACGTTTTGTGTGTCTTATTTAACTGACATGGTGCTAGTAACGTCACCGTCTGGCGGATGGCATCTTATTAGATTTACATGGTGCCTTGTCACATTCGTTGCTTCGACATTATGCGTACAGGTGGCATCTGGATGCAATTCTTAGCAGACCGGGGTGCCACAGCGATTGAGGGTTTACCCTAGGGCCGAGTATGTGTGAACCTCACTGTAGGTTCAATCCAATTTGGCTCGAGCTAAGAATGGGTCATCACGAGTGTGCGATGAACCACGGGTTTATCATAGTCCTGTGATGTGCGCTGTAGGTTCATCGCAGGCCTGTGATGCACTGTGGGTTCATCATAGAGGAAATGTTGGCTACAGACTGATCGCAAGCGTCCACGTGGTATCAATGTGGTGTTTATTGTACTCTAAGGGGTTAAGTGAGCATTGTATACCTACACGAGGCTTACACCTCAAAATGCCTTGAGGCTTAGGCCTTGCCCTTTTTACACCCAACCGCTTCACCTCTGCCTTTAGCCTTTTAAAACTTTGGATAAGACATCTCTCTCGAAGATATCCTTCAACTACAAACAATTTGCCTTGGTGGGACATGGTTTTATTGCAAGGCTAAAACCATGAATAATGGCTTTCAATGTATTGCTATGACTAGTGGCATAGTCAGGAACTCTTTATACTGTAGTCATACAATAATTTGAAACTTCATAAATGTCAAAAATTATTATTATTATTATTATTATTATTATTATATTTCCAACCCCAGGTTATAACTCATAGAGAATCGTCTATTTGGGAGGGAAATAATTTTTATTTCATGCAGCAAACTTCTTTTTCTTTACTAGCACTACATATTGTACATTACATAGTGAATAAGGGGTGGAGGAAGCATAAGAAAGACATGAGGTCTACTGATTTTTTAGGTATCAATCAACTAGGACCAAAAACATATAGTAGTTAAAAGAAGTTGGAAAACAGAAAACCAGTCATAATCATAAGTATTGTCGCTCTCATTTTGAGAGCAGGGATTTGCAGAAATAAGAGAACCATGCCGAGGTTGATTTGCAAACCACATATTGCAATATACATTAGCAAATGGAGAGACGTCTATGAGCAGGGGCAGAGCTAGGGGTGGTAGAGGGGAACCATGGCCCTCATATCCGTTGAAAATCTCCATTTTACTTATTTAAATCCCACTTAGATTTTAACCCCCTACCTATGTTTACTAGCTTTTGTCCCCCTATTCATGCTTGCTAGCTTTTCGTCCCCCTCAATAAAAAATCCTAGCTTCACCCCTCACTTTGAGAGACAAATGATATAATAAGTGAAGGATAACAACATCTATACTATTTTAAAATGTACGAATAGCCCCTAAAAATTTCTATAATTTTAGTTGGACAAATTTTGCCCCTTTGTGTTAATGCTTTCTGATTTGAATTTAAGGACAAATTTGATATTTTGTTAATTGTTTTAAATGAGTTACTTAAATGAATTATAACTGAAAATTCATGAAGTGTTTAGCTAGAAAGTATCTCTCTCTCTCTTAATTAATATTGAACAAAATCATCGTTATTTAGTCATCTTTAAAAGTAGGTTCAATTGTCACTATTTAATGATTTTAAAATGTCGATTTTGTGTGGTTTGCAATTTTGATTATGGATTTTGGGTTAGCTCCATTAGTTTATAAGTAATTTCTGCTCAATCTCAAGATGTCTAAGAAGGTTCATCTGAAATATCCATTTCAAAAGGTCAATTTTTTTTTCTAAAAAAAAATTGACAGATAGGGTTTAAAAAATGATTTCTAAGATTATGAGCATCTCAATATCAACAAACAAAGAAAAATACTTGGGTGACTCAATTATTTAAAGCATAATTCATGAGAAGGCTTTGAATAACATCACAACTAAATGTAAGAAGAAAATTTAGGATTGGAAATTGAAAATTGTTTTTAAAGATGAAAGAGTGATCCTTATCAATTAAGTTTTGAATGTGTTTTTTCTATTTACAAGGCGCCAATTGGCTAGTCGGTAAGGTCTCTTGGATCAAACCCCACCTGCAGCTAGGTTGGGGGTATTGGGTTTGGGGAATGGGCCACCCCCATTGTGTAGCCTCATGGAGGAAAAAAAAGAAAAAATAAAAGAAATTTCAATTCCTCTATTTCAAATGATGTTCAAATGAACATACCCCAAAAAATATTAATAAAATTCAAAGTCAATTCTTTTGAGGCCCAAGAGAAGGCAAGGGAGCAATTGTAGGACAAGTTAGAAAAGGCTTTACAAATTAATGACTTATTTTTGGAAAAATCACTAAAAAGCCTTAGAGTTTCTGAAAAATCTATAAGAAGTATTTTCCCCTTTGTGTTAATGCTTTTGTATTTGAATTTGAGAGAAAATCAAGTATTTTGTTGATTGTTTAAAATGATATCAGAATAGGACAAATTGAGCCCTCTATTGTTAATTTCTTGTTGAATTATATAAGATGATCAAAATGGAATTCTTTTATGCTTCTTAAATAAAAGAAGTGGCAATGTGTCTAAATAGACATCTATAAATCACAAAACCTAAGGATTTGTAATTGAAATTGCATGGAGTCTTTAGCTGGACAATTTTAATTATTCTAAATACTTGGAGGTACATGTTGCACTACAAGAAAATTGGCCTTTAACAACAGTCACAACTTTGTTGCTAAATGTTAAAAAATTGTTCCTAAATGTTTAGTTACAACCAAGTTGGCTATTGCTGATAGTGCCGTGGCTAAAAGTTTTTAATTACAATCAATTGTTACTAATGGTGATGTATAGCAGCAGTCGATATAAATGTTGCTAAGGTTGTCTTTTTGCAACAACGAAACCCAACAATGACCCAATATACATTATTTGGAACAACTTCTATTGATTGTAGCTAAAAAATAATATTTGCAACAATTTGCTAAATGTACTCATATATGTCAATAGAAACAAGCACATTAATTGTTGCTAAAGCATAGGCAATAATTGATCAATTATTGGTTATAACTATCTTTTGTAACAATTCTCATTGAAATAAAGGCAATTATATAATTGGTGTGAATTGTTGACAAAACAATTCTAATTAATTGTTGCGAATATAATTAGCAACAATTCTGCAACTGTTGCTTATAATAATTTTAGCAACAGTAGTTATAGACTATTGTTAAATTAGCAACAAGTGAATAATTGTTACCGATTTCATTAATTATTCTTCATTGTATTTAGTTACAATTAAAAATGGTTGTCAATATTAATTTAGTTGTTGTTATTAATATCTTTAATTATTGTAAATAATTTGCAAATTGTTGTTAATAAAAAATTTGCACGTATTTAAAAGTAATACGATTGTTGCTAATGATCACATAATTGGAACTATTATCAATATTAATTTCATTATGTTACATCCATATAACATATTTTACATATAATTTATTATCGCCATTCATTTGTTCATTCAATTCAATCAATAGACAATCTTAAATCCATTAAATCCATCCATTATATAAATATGTATTCATTGGTTTCTAAAAGATAATGTATTTAAATCATCAAAAAATAAGATTTAAAAAGTTCATATACAAAAAAAAGTAATACTTAAATAAAAAAATGCTAGTCTCAATGGAAATTTCTTCTCATCAAATTTGTTCCCCTAGTGTTTAATTTTCAGAAGCACTAGCACCTTCATTATTATTCTCCTACAAAAAATAATGTATAAGTAATTTTATCAATCATGATCTTAAAAAACTACTTAATTTAAACTTTAAATAAATCTACTAAAAAAAATTACCTGCGATGCTGAAGTTGATCCAAGTAAGATTTTTGACAAGTCGATAGTTCCATTTTGAGCAAGATTAGCCAATAATGAAGTCATGGCCAACTGCATTTGGTCTTGTTGTGTCTTCAATTGTTCTCTTTTCACTCTTTCCTCCTCTAATTGCTTGTGCAAATTTTCATTCTCCATTTTCAATCTATCATTTTCTCCTTTTTTGCCCCAAACTTTTGATGGAGTTGGTCCAAATCCAAACAATCGAACATACTCACTATGCTCTGGACCAAGTACTTGAGAAATAGTATCCTGATGCCCATCGCTAATTTGTGAACTTTCTCTATCCAAATCTATCTCATCTAAATTTCTCTGCAATATAAAATAAACTTTAAAAGATTTCTTTAATTTCATATACATAAATTTATTAACAAATAATAATATTATAATAGCAATACTTACAATAGCATGAGCAATATCTTCATTTGGAACATTTCCATTCTTTCTTTTACGTGTGGCTCTAAACATCTCTGTTCGCATAGGTTCCCTTTTTTCTGGATGCTTGTTTTTCTTATTTTTTAACATAAAATAATTATAAGTTTACAACTTATGAATGTAAATTCAACTTAATTTATTTCAATAATAAATGGAAATTACCAATTCTTCTTGGATTTGCGTAAAAGACTTTGAACCAGAAACATGAACCATAGTATGCTTTACTCGGTTTGATTTACCTCTTCCGCTTTGAGCCTGCATTGTGCATTCATGTAAATGCATTATTTAAAATAAGAATAATAATTAAAACTAGATACATAAAAATGTTTGATGCTATAACTTACCTCAAATAAATCATTTGAAAAATACTTAACCAATTCTTTCCATTGATCCAAATGAACATCAGGAGGGCAATTTCTAATTCTTTCCTGATCAATTTCATATTTGTCATAATAGTTCACCTTTATTTTATTCCTATATGCCCTCCACCTCTATCCAAGATTTCGCATGACCCAATCCTTATATTTTTCTTCAAGTTCAAACTTCTGCAATTAGTTAATAAATTATAAAATTAAAATATATTAATTTTAGATTGATAAGGCAACATATAATAGAAAAATGATCTTATATGTATTATGTATATTGATATTATTACCTAGATCACTTGCCATACTTCATCCTTGTGCCTTTGTAGAACTTCATGCCAATCGACATAATGGATAGGTACAAGTCTCCCATTCCTTGCTTGCATTCCTATATAATTTAGAAAATTTTCTCTATGTTCCCCTATAGGTTGTAAATCATCATTCCATTGTAATTTAATTCTTTGATCATTGGGTAGTTCTACAATGTTTCTAAGGATTGTACTCCCTCGACCTCGAGTTTGTTTTCTTGTATTATTAGAAACTATACCAAAATAAATAATGCATATTATAGTAGCATACTTAAAAATAATATAAATATGAATTGTGAAACTTTATTCTTGTAAAAATTACCTGTAGGAACTGAACCAATAGAGCTACCAATTGTACTAATGGAAGGGGTATCTCTTTGTAAATTTGTTGCAACAAGACCTTCAGAGCTTGAAGCTTCATTTCTATTATTAGTAGGCATGTTGGTTCCCAAATTTGTAATAGTAGGCTGACTTTGCTCCCTTTGTATTGATTGTGGGGACGACATCTCAATATGATTATTGGATGGGGAGCTATGGATTGGTATATCAGCTTCTCTTGATGCATTCTCTCGGACTCTTTGTAGAAATAATTGACGTTTTGATCTCCTTATTTCCTATGCAATATTCCACTACATTAAATCATATGCACAAATTATTCAAATAAGCAGATAGCTAATAGGAACAAAAATAATGCATTAAGAAAAGGAAAATAAAAATGATTTATAACTTAACCCAAATATATTGATAAAAATTAAAAAGCTATGATAGCAACCAAATAACAAATCAACATCGATCTTAAGGGATGATGTAGCTATGCCATCAACAAAAATAGGGGAGCTAATCCTATTGATATTGGTTAATGATAAGGGAAGCTCATTTATATATGAAAACTCTACATAAGATAGATACTGCTTCCAACAATTTGGTAGGTAAAGGCAAGATTCAAAGTATCGATACATATCAGGTCGTATCGGTCGATACGTATTATATTAGGGGCTTCCCAACAATTTGGAGGTGTTTTGGGGTTGACTGGTTCAAGGGGTGGTCGGACCTTACAATGACCCCTTTGAACCTTAAAAAAAAACTAAAAAAATAAAAGAAATAGGTACCGGTACACACCGCTACACCTCTACCGGTGTATTAGGTGTATCGATACTTTGAACCTCTGGTAAAGGTTTGGTATGTCTACAACTCTACATAAGATAGATACTTCTTCCAACAATTTATCAAGGTATTACATTTGCATTCATGGCTCATTCTACATTGATTTTGGTTTTGTTAGATAACCATAAAATAAGATATATCTAATTTTCTGACTATAGAAACAATTACCTTGACCCTGGCCTTTTATGGGTTGCTTATAAATTCAAAAAGGAGGAGATTCAAGAGGATGTTGTCTCTAATACTCCCTGAGAACTATTGATCAGAACCTTGCCCATGAAAACCATATCAATTATAGAGAGAGAGAGAGGCGTACAAGATACAAGCATGAGGGTTAGGAATAGTAAGACACCACAAAGAATGCTTGAAGCAACAACATGCATTGCATATGGAAATCAACCACTTCAGCTGTTACCAAAAGGCCCCTAAGCCAATTAAGGGTAAGTATTAGCTAAATAGGGACCCACATGAATGAACTACTCAATGCAAAAGCTAAAGCCTTTGTATCTCTAATTAGAAATCTGAAGGCCATCAATCCTAAGAATGCTTGAAGCAATAACATGCATTGCATAAGGAAATCAATTTTTGTAAATATCTAAATAAAAAGGGAGGAAAAACATAAACAGAAGAAGATTTCATTAATCTATAAATTATTTATTACATCTCTCAAGTCAATGGATAAAATCAAGTATAAAATTCTAAAGAAATATAAGGCTTCATTTTAAAAGTCGGTGCAACAAATCATCTGGTGTGTCTACTTCTATTCCTTCAACATCTGTCCTATTCCAATTGGAATCATCATCATTGAAAAACTAGTGTCTCTTGCAACATTGGTTCCTCACTAGGTAAGCTTTGCATAGTTGTTGCTTCCTCATCTAAGGTATTGCCTTCACCCATATTGAAGAAATCTCTTGTTCTTGTTTCGACAACAATCTTCCAATCAGGGTCTATAGGATCAGGAACATAAAATACTTGTTGAGCTAGGTTTGCTAACACATATGGATCATCTGTATTATTGATCCCCGTGTGGCATAGATGGTTAAAACTTACAAGAGTAAATCCAAATTCATCCCTTTTAATCCCTCTTCCCGATTTGACATCAGACAATCGCACCGAAATAACACAATTCTCTTATGCCCTATATAGTTCAGCTCTATAATCTCTTTTAACATGCCATAGTAATCTAAATCTCCTGCAACTGGATTCCTATCGCTCACACGTGAAAAGTTCGATGTTTTTGCAGTAACAATAACCCCATAATTTTGGGTTTTTTTATCCACATCACGAGCTACTATGCAAAATCGGAAACCATTAACAATATATCCATTGAATCTTCTAGCAATAGTATCAGGACCATGAACAAGGCTCATAATTTCTGCAGAAATTTCATCTCCTATGGCACGATAAACCCGTTCCTTGAACCAATTTGAGAAGTCACTATTATGGATTTATTCCCTAAACATACGTGTTCTTCGAGGATGTGCATTTTGACTTCCAACTTATGTTCTCTACATAAAATAAATTTACATTAGTTAAATGTGTGAGTAAGTTTAATAATCTATTGAGATATTTAAGGTGGTTATAAGTTCTTACTGGATAAAGGGGTTGATTGAGTTGGTGTTAAACAACACATACCTATGTGCCTTTTTTAAATCATCGAGATTTAAATGAAATGGCACACCTATCCCATATGACCGACCTTCTCCATCATCTCTAGAATCATCATTACGAACCCATGTATCAAATCTTGTCTCGAAATCATGCATATAACGAGAGCAGAATATCAAACACTCATCTATTAGATATCCCTCTGCAATTGATCCTTCAGGTTGAATTCAATTTCGTACATAGGACTTTAACTTTCGTAGATACCTAAAAAGCAAAGTTTTGGCATATTATTCCAAACTATTTTATTTTTAATAGGAACTATTAATAAAATATAATGAAGCAAGAAAATTGGTGAGTACCTCTCAATCGGATACATCCAACGATATTGTACTGGGCCTGCCAGTCTTGCCTCACTTGCTAAGTGAATAGTTAAATGTACCATGATATCAAAAAAGGAGGGTGGGAATATCTTTTCCAAGCAACAAAGTATGGGTACTATTTGTAGCTCAAGAACCCTGAAGTCATTTTCACATGATACTTTGGAACACAAGTCTTGGAAAAACCTACTCAATTCAACCAAGACAATGACCACATTCTGAGGTAGTGTCCTACATATGGCTATTGGAAGTAATTGCTGCATTAAAATATGGCAATCATGGCTTTTGAGACCTGAAATGTGCTTCTTCTGAACATTAGTGCACCTTGAAATATTACTTGCATACCCATCTGGAACTTTTACACCCTTTATAACTTGACAAAATACCTCATTCTCCTTTGGTGTCATTGTGAAGCTTGTAGGAGGTAAGTATGTTTTACCATATAGCATAATCTGTGAAGTGAATCTTTAATCTTCATGTCACAAAGATCTAGGCGCACTTTTAAATGATCTTTTGTCTTTTTTTCCATGTTCAATAAAGTTCCAAGGATATTATCTAAAACATTCTTCTCGATGTGCATAAGATCCAGATTGTGGCGCACTAGATTACTTGCCCAATATGGCAAGTTAAAGAAGATACTCTTCTTTTTCCAATTGTGTGTAGGTGTTTCTTTTGCAGGCGCTTCTTTCACATGTGCTTCTTTCTCAGGTGTTTTTTCCTTTGCTTTGCCACGATTCCTCTTCTTTGTTTGTCATAATTTTAGACTTCTTTTTCTTTGGACGAATTGGATTTTTAGTCTTCTTCCCAAATATCACTTTTATTCTATTAACCTCAACTAGCAACTGATTCCCATACAATTGTTTTGGTGCCTCTCTCCATTCTTGCTTTCCATTAAATCCTCTTCTATCACTCCTAAATTTGTGATCTTTGCTCAAGAACCGACGATGTCCCATGTAATAGAACTTGTTGCTATTATCCAACCACGAAGAATCTGTATCCTTGTTACAATAAGGACAAGCTAACCTGCCTTTTGTACTCTGTCCTGACAAGATTGCATATGCAGGGAAGTCATTGATCGTCCAAAGCACAGTTGCACGCAATGGAATTTTTTTTTCAAAAATGCATCATATGTGATGACTCCTACATTCCACAATATCTAAAGCTCATCTACCAAAGGCTGCAAATACACATCAATATCATTACCTGGAGCAATTGGATCAGGTGTAAGCAAAGACAACATAAAGTATGTTGATTTCATGCATAACCAAGGTGGTAGGTTATATGGTATCAACACAACTAGCCATGTACTATGGGATATGTTCATATTACCATATGGATTAAATCCATCTGATGCTAGGCCAAGATGTACATTGCGACAATCAAGTGCAAAATCTGGATATTGATTATCCAAGGATTTCCATGCAAGTGTATCTGCAGGATGCCTCATTACTCCATCTTGAGTCCAACCCTCTGCATGCCATCTCATATTTTTTGCTGTTTGTACAATGCCATAATGTTTTTGTAGGGATCTTCTTTTTATTTGCAATTGTGTCCTTTTCCTCATCATCAAAACCATCGCTACTGTCTTTCCACCTTGAAGTTTGACATTGTGAACATTTCTCATCATCAGATTTATCCTTCCACTATAATTGGCAATCATGAGTGTTCTCATATGATGTAGGTTCATCCATATTGGAATTATCTATTGTCATTCCAAAAACACCATGTAGTAACCCATGCATATCATCATGAGGTGGGTCATCTTGACTTGAAGGGTCGGGTAATAATGAAGTATAACTCTAACCATGTAAATACCAAGTTGTGTAACCCAACATTATCCCATTCCAAAGTAAATCACCTTCAACATCTTCTTTAGTCTTTATAAATACGTTTGCACACTGTTTGCATGGACAATAAATCTTCCCATCAACTTCACCATAGATCACTGCAAATTCTATGAACTTTTTTACTTCATTCTCATATTCATCGCTTTCCCTAGAGTCATTAATTAATAAAAGAAATTAAGAACCATAACCCAAAGATAATCTCATGTTGTAGGTTATCAATACTAAGAGTAAAGTAGATACCTTGGCCTAGTCATCCAACTCTTATCCATATCCTTCTTGCAATTTTTTTTTTTTTTTTTGTAAACAGATCAATGAATAAAACTTCTTTTAAAGCTTATGGATCTAAAACTCCTACCAAGATGGAAAGAGTTAGTTATAATAAACCAAATTCTGATCCACTTAATTCCTATAAAATAGTTTATAAAATA